CCCCCCCTCACTGTCACTAGTCACCCCCCCTCTCTGTCACTAGTCACCCTCTCCCTCACTCTGTCACTACTCACACCCTCCCTCACTCTGTCACTAGAGTGAGGGGATGACTGGTGACAGAGTGAGTTAGGGGGTGACTAGTGACAGAAGGAGGGATGGAGTAGTGACAGAGGGAGGTGGTGACTAATGACAGTCACCACCTACCTCACTCTGTCACTAGTCACCCCTTCCCTCACTCTGTCACTAGTCACCCCCTCACTCTAGTGACAGTGAGGGAGGGTGTGACTAGTGACAGAGTGAGGGAGGGAAGTGGTGACTAGTTGACAGCGTTAGGGAGGGAAGGGGTGACAAGTGACAGAGTGAGGAAGGGGGTGACTAGTGACAGAGGGAGGGGTGACTAGGGACAGAGTGAGGGAGGTGGTGACTAGTGACTAGTGACAGTCACCACCTCCCTCACTCTGTCACTAGTCACCACCTCCCTCACTGTGTCACCCCCTCCCTCTGTCACTGGTCACCCACTCCCTCCCTCACTCTGTCACTGGTCACCCACTCCCTCCCTCACTCTGTCACTAGTCACCCCTTCCTTCCCTCTGTCACTAGTCACCCCTTCCCTCACTCTGTCACCTGTCACCCCCTCACTCTGTCACCCCCTCACTCTGTCACCCCCCTCACTCTGTCACTAGTCACCCCCTCACTCTGTCACTAGTCACCCCCCTCACTCTGTCAATAGTCACCCCCTCACTCTAGTGACAGAGAGAGGGAGGGTGTGACTAGTGACAGAGTGAGGGAGGGTGTCACTAGTGACAGAGTGAGGGAGGGTGTCACTAGTGACAGAGAGAGAGAGGGAGGGGGTGACTAGTGACAGTCACCACCTCCTTCACTCTGTCACTAGTCACCCCCTTCCTCACTCTGTCACTAGTCACCCCCTCCCTCACTCTGTCACTAGAGTGAGGGGGTGACTAGTGACAGAGTGAGGGGGTGACAGAGTGAGGGAAGGGGATGACTGGTGACAGAGTGAGGGAGGGGATGACTGGTGACAGAGTGAGGGAGGGGGTGACTAGTGACAGAAGAAGGGAGGGAGTAGTGACAGAAGGAGGGAGGGAGTAGTGACAGAGGGAGGTGGTGACTAGTAACAGTCACCACCTCCCTCACTCTGTCACTAGTCACCCCTTCCTTCCCTCACTCTGCCACTAGTCACCCCTTCCCTCACTCTGTCACTAGTAACCCCCTCACACTAGTGACAGAGTGAGGGAGTGACAGAGAGAGGGAAGGGGGTGACTAGTGACAAAGTGAGGGAGGGGGTGACTGTCACTAGTCACCCCATCCCTCTCTCTGTCACTAATCACTCCCTCCTAACTCTGTCACTGTGTCACCCCCTCCCTCACTCTGTCACTAATCACCCCTCTGTCCTTAGTGACAGAGTGAGAGAGGGGGTGACTAGTGACATAGTGAGGAAGGGGGTGACTAGTGACATAGTGAGGGAGGGGGTGACTAGTGACAGAGTGAGAGAGGGGGTGACTAGTGACAGAGAGAGGGAGGGGGTGACTAGTCACAGAGTGAGGGAGGGGAGGGGGTGACTAGTGACAGTCACCACCTCCTTCACTCTGTCACTAGTCACCCCCTCCCTCACTCTGTCACTAGAGTGAGGGGGTGACTAGTGACAGAGTGAGGGGGTGACAGAGTGAGGGAAGGGGATGACTGGTGACAGAGTGAGGGAGGGGATGACATGTGACAGAGTGAGGGAGGAAGTGACTAGTGACAGAAGGAGGGAGGGAGTAGTGACAGTGAGGGAGGTGGTGACTAGTGACAGTCACCACCTCCCTCACTCTGTCACTAGTCACCCCTTCCTTCCCTCACTGTGCCACTAGTCACCCCTTCCCTCACTCTGCCACTAGTCACCCCTTCCCTCACTCTGTCACTAGTCACCCCCTCACTCTAGTGACAGAGTGAGGGAGTGACAGGTGACAGAGTGAGTGACTAGTGACAGAGTGAGGGAAGGGGTGACTGTCACTAGTCACCCCATCCCTCTGTCACTAGTCACTCCCTCCTAACTCTGTCACTGTGTCACCTGCTCCCTCACTCTGCCACTAGTCACCCCCTCCCTCACTCTGTCACTAATCACCCCCTCTGTCCTTAGTGACAGAGTGAGAGAGGGGGTGACTAGTGACAGAGTGAGGGAAGGGGTGACTGTCACTAGTCACCCCATCCCTCTGTCACTAGTCACTCCCTCCTAACTGTGTCACCTGCTCCCTCACTCTGTCACTAATCACCCCCTCTGTCCTTAGTGACAGAGTGAGAGAGGGGGTGACTAGTGACAGAGTGAGGAAGGGGGTGACATAGTGAGGGAGGGGGTGACTAGTGACATAGTGAGAGAGGGGGTGACTAGTGACATAGTGAGAGAGGGGGTAACTAGTGACATAGTGAGAGAGGGGGTAACTAGTGACAGAGTGAGGGACGGGGTGACACAGTGACAGAGTTAGGGAGGGAGTGACTAGTGACAGAGAGAGGGATGGGGTGACTAGTGACAGAGAGAAGGATGGGGTGACTAGTGACAGAGTGAGGAAGGGGGTGACTAGGGAGAGAGGGGGTGATTAGTGACAGAGTGAGGGAGGGGGTGACACAGTGACAGAGTTAGGGAGGGAGTGACTAGTGACAGAGAGAGGGATGGGGTGACTAGTGACAGAGAGAAGGATGGGGTGACTAGTGACAGAGAGAAGGATGGGGTGACTAGTGACAGAGTGAGGAAGGGGGTGATTAGTGACAGAGTGAGGGAGGGGGTGACTAGTGACAGAGGGAGGGGGTAACACAGTGACAGAGTAAGGGGGTGACTAGTGACAGTGAGGGAGCGGGTGACACAGTGACAGAGTTAGGGAGGGAGTAACTAGTGACAGAGAGAGGGATGGGGTGACTAGTGACAGTCACCCCCCCTCACTCTGTCACCAGTCATCCCCTCACTCTGTCACTAGTCACCCCTTCCCTCCCTCACTCTGCCACTAGTCACCCATTCCCTCACTCTGTCACTAGTCACCCATTCCCTCACTCTGTCACTAGTCTCCCATTCCCTCCCTCTGTCACTAGTCTCCCCCTCTCCTTCCCTCTGTCACTAGTCACCCACTCCCTCACTCTGTCACCAGTCACCCCCACTCACTGTGTCTCCCCCTCACTCTGCCACCACTCAACCCCTCCCTCCCTCACTCTGCCACCAGGTACCCCCTCACTCTGCCACCTGTCACAACCTCCCACACTCTCCCACCTGTCACCTTCTCCCTCACACACTCTGTCACCTGTCACATATGCATTCACACAGACACTATATACAAAAAAGCACATGTAGTCATCCAGACATGCACAAGTGCATTCACACAGACTCAAATACAAACATGCATTGATACACGGGTCTTCACAATACACACATCCAAAGGAATGCCGTATTATGAATTATATTTAACATTTATTAAAATGCACATATATTTGGCCTTCAAAGGGCCTGGGATCTAATTTTGCCCGGGGGCCCCAAAGGCTCTCAGTCCGCCCCTGCCTGCACACACAGATATCCCCCTAACATAGCTAAAACTAAAAACAAACTAAAAACTACTTCCAAAAATATTCAGCTTTGATATTAATGAGTTTTTTGGGTTCATTGAGAACATGGTTGTTGTTCAATAATAAAATTAATCCTCAAAAAGGGGGGCGGGGCCTGACCAGCATGGCTGACAGACGTGTGTGTGGTGAGCTCCTCACACAACCCTTACTAAACCGAGTACAAACAGAAATGCTACCCCTAAAACAGCACCAAATGAGATTACACACTGAAAATAACTGCTGGGGAGCACAAGCAGACGACTCTGGAGACTCGTCCGCCGTCCTGAAGCCAAATACTGCATTTGAGACCTACATAGGCGGAGGGACCCATGGAGGGAGGAAACGGCCGATCCTCCAACCTGGGACCACCAAGCAAATGCTAGCAACCCGTTCCCCCCCCTCTGGACCGGTGGGGGTAATCCCGGTCCCTGCTGGGGAAAAGAAAACCGAGAGCATCCCAACAACACATGCCGCTGCTTCCTGCTCCTGGGCCGCAACCAACATGGCCGACGGAGCAAGGGAACACCTTGAACCGACATGGGAAACTGGGTTTAATGCTGCCTTCGACAAGATATGTGCAACGTTCTGGGGCCAGATTGCAGCCCGGGCAGTGCAAACACAGCAGCCTATCACTTACACCACACAGCCCCAGGCGGAATTCCTATCAGCAAACAGCCCAACCGAACTAACACACCCAGCCATGCACATGGAGAATGTTGCAGTCTCTGCCGCATGCCCTTCTTCTGGGCCGGGTACTCACACGGAGGTACCTCTCCAACGCCAGCCATACACCCGGGGATTTATCCGAGATCTGGAAGCACCCCGGGCCCATGACCCTCAAAATAGGATCCATGGCACGACGGCACGAGTCCCATTTACAGCCGCAGGCCGAAGGCAGCTGGCACGCAGACTCCGCAAGACCATGAGCAGCCGGAAACGACCCACGCCCAGGCCGGTCAAAAGACCTCCTGCCGCGGAAGAATGTGAGTGGAACGGACAGGGCCCCCCATCATGGCATGAGGACCTGGCCTCCCAAGACCACCGCGCTATCCCGCCAGGCGGAGTGGGCTGAGGACACTCACCAACACCCTCTCCTAGACCTGCACAGAAACACTCACTGTACCTAGTGAACTAGTGATGTAACTTGCAGCGTGTAACTTAACATAGCACTGTACAGCCTCTGATTTATATCGTACAAGTACCTTCATTACTACCCAGGCACTATAGTCATAGGGGAACTAGATATGTTTTACAAGCATGAGATTCCTCCCCAGCAAGCTACTTAAACCACTGTTTCCCCTACTTATTTATCTACTCGGTGGCTCTTAAATGTAAAACCGATGCAATATCCACCAGAACCTAATCTCTGATCCCAGCAGATATCACACACCGCATATATAAGTTTCACACCTAAGACATGTTTAAGCCTGACAGCTACTATATATATGTGTACTATCCAGCACACAGGGTAGAATAAAATGTTCTGTTAAACCTGTTTCTATCTTGCTAACTAACCTACTTAAAATACTTGCCTACCCAACCTGTGCTCCACTACTCTAGCCTGTAACATTTCAAGATTTATATTACAGCATGTCACGTGCGTGGGCTATAGGCCCAGCCGAGACAGTGGGGAGAGTGTGGAAGTGACAGGGTTAATGACACCAGACCCCTGGTTACCTGTTGCTAGTCCCAGCAACCACTCAATTAACCCCTGCAATCCCTTCTACACTATCCCCCTTAGTACTACTGCCACCACCAAGACTTTTAAACCCGGGCGTCTTAGGTTACCCCCACACACAGGAGAATTATAGTATCACAGTTCTACTTTTACTGATAAAACATATATAGTTAACCCCTTTTGGTAACGTGTTTACCTGAGCTTTCCTCTGGAGAGTGAAGCTCATAGAGAACAGAGACACAAGCTGATTAAGTAAACATTTAATCTGACAAAAGGATTCACAGTGCTGAGTACAAAATACAGAAATAAATGACATACAGATAACAAATTGCAAAACAGTACATAAAATAAAATAGGAGAAAACACAAGAAATTTCTTACATATATTTACCCCATATAGAATTCTTGTGGGAGTCTTAGATGGTATAGGTCTCCTAGAAGTTACTGACAAAAGAAAAATGAATAACTGACCTCCCTGGATAGTCCAACACCCTCATATATCTAAACTAGTTGTTTCTCAGTGGGCAGACCCCTGGGGGGGGGAATCAGAGGGGGCTGGTCTGGCAGTCTATTGCCCACTCTATGAAATTCCTTGTGTCCAGCTCTGGTGATGGCTATCTAGATGTTTTATGGTCTAGGCCTGGTGCAGGATCAAAGACCACAATAAACGTCATCCCAAGGTTTACAAAAAAAACAACTCAACATATATAAACACACATCAAACACAAACTCATGCTTTTGGCATGACACAGCATATAATGAAGTATGTCTCTTTAACACATAAAAAAGTGCAATTGTTTCTCATGTCATGGCACTGAATGCAAATGTTTGTCTACATTATCTACATTAAGCTTGCTGATGTTGTCGTGGCATTGCAAGCCTGTATGTTCATCTTTTGTTGCACACCAAAATAAAGATTTACAAAAAAAAAATTAATCCTCAAAAATACAACTTGTCTAATAATTCTGCACTCC